GAGAGAGAGAGAGAGAGAGAGAGAGAGAGAGAGAGAGAGAGAGAGAGAGAGAGAGAGAGAGAGAGGCATAACCTCTGCACACACATTACACATTACTGACGAAGAGGCCCCAAGCTACTCTGCTGCAACCAGAGCGACAGAGAAGCCCTCAAAAGCAAATAACCAGCTATGGCACATATACAAGCATATAACCAAACAAACTACTTCTTTTTTGGCAGCAAACCTTTGTAGGAGGAATAAGGAAAGAATGTGAAAAAGAAATCAGGACAAAGGATTCATAATAAAACACAACTAAGTGCGCAAAATGCGAGCTCGTTAGATCAGATTCAAACCAAACGACTTCTTCTTGGTGCCGTGGTAATGAGGGCAATACATTTGCACCACTGCACTGAAAAAGAGTGCTTACCTTCTTCTTCTTCTTTTTTTGCACGTGTTTCATCCTTGCACAGGGGCCCTAACAACCTTCTTTCTCTGTATCGTTCCAATTTCAACGGATCCCCCGACCGACCGAAACGGTGATTACCTACTCCTTACGAAAGCAGAATTTACAGACTACAAGTCAAAAGAATCCGGACGCTGCCTGCAGCCCAAAAACTGTGCTTCCCCTCTTCTGAACACTGGTACGGTGTCGAGATTCGGGTGCGAGGCTGAGACTTCATTTGAAGAGGCATGCCATACTTCGAAGGACAAATGACACTCATGACCCAGACCCAACGAACAGGGTCAACCAGAAGCAGCCACAGTCTGCCTTTGGCCCTCCTCGCCCTTTCCAATCTCTGCCTCCTCCTCCTCCTCCTCCCCTTCCTCCTCCTCCTCCTCCTCCAGCATCTCAACCACCTCCTCGTATTCAACCTCTTCACCGTCCTCAACATCATCGCCCTCATATACATACTCTATAACCTCTTCATATTCATACTCGTCTTCATCCTCATCGTCGACTTCACTGCCCCTCCTGCTCGCTGCCGCTCGTTGTGCCTCGTAATCTGGCGGTGCTGGGCAGTCTTCTGAAATACCGGCTTTCTGTTGCAGGATCATTCGCCGGATGATTCTGTCGTCCGTTAACAGTTTCTTGTCCAGCTCTGCGAGCGCCTCTGGAGACATTTCAATGTTCATCAGAACGTAGTTCGCCCTCGCTGCTGCCCGCTTACCCCGCTTCTTAATCTTGTATGCAAGAGTTCTCATTCCCCAATCATTGACTCGCCAGATCACTCCCTTCTTCTCGACAACAAAATCTGTCGCAGAAAGCAACAGCAGAGGGTCAGCGTCTTAAGAGCCAGAACCAGACTTCAACACAACTTCGACACCCGCTGGCGAAGCAGAAACTTTCTGGAGTTAACAAAACATAAAACTTCCTTCCTAGAGTTCTTCAGATCGACATGGTGGTTTGCGGGAGAAAGAAAATGTACGGTGACGATAAAAAGCTAGACAGCACTGATCAGTACCGACTGCTGCTTGCGTACATGTACTAGAAAAGAAAACCGCTGGCAGCAGACGTGCCTGATAAAAAGCTAGACAGCACTGATCACTGATCAGTTGTTTCTTCAGTTAGATTGAGAAAGAAAACGCAAGCCATCACAAGGAATGACAGAACAGATCCATCACACATGTGAACAGACTAGGACTTTGCGAGGTTTTTGGAGCGTTGGGAGAAAGACGAATCGGGGGCATTTGGCTTGGGTGGGCTTGAGACACTCCGGCGTGCCTGCAGTACTAAAGGGGGTCATACTTGGATATTTTGACGTTTGAAACTTTGAACTGAATCTGCCCGTGATTGCTGCCATATTCTTCCAGGAAACTGAGTATGCACTATGATGATCACTTCAACCGCCAGTCCCTCGCAGCCTCCTTTTCCCGACCCAAACTGCCACTGCGTGCCAAAAAGAAGCGAACTGATGCGTGCGCAGATTTTTTTTTTTTTTTTTTTTTTTTTTTTTTTTTTTTTTTTTTTTATTTTTTGGTATTTTTTTTTTTTTTTTTTTTTTTTTTTTTTTTTTTTTTTTTTTTTTTTTTTTTTTTTTTTTTTTTTTTTTTTTTTTTTTTTTTTGCCTGGCGCCACCAGTCATTTTGGACTGGTACGCCAATCCCCTTTTCACACAGCGGGTTAACAAAATAGCCGTCTCAGAACAAAATAGCCCGCAGGCCAAGGGACTCGTGGCTTAAAAGAGCTGTGGACTTGTCACACAACAGAGCACAGTATATCATGATGTTTAAAGTTTAAAGTTGAAACCAAACCAGAGGACCAGACCCTGACACATGAAGACAAGACCATCCACAACAGTGACAACAGTAAAAGGGCAGATTCACACTACGACGTTTTGCTCCTAATCTGGCTCTAAATACGCACAGATACGTAAGTGTTAGTCTTCCCTACATCAAACCCGCAACCACCCTGTTCATTCCTTCATTATCATACACAAGGAGGAGGAGAAGACTCAGGCTTACCTTTAAGATTCTTGATGATGTCATCCACCTCCTCGAAGTGGTCTTCATGGATCAGAAACATTATCTCATAATGCCGTCCTGTACGAAACGCCACAGAGAGAGAGAGAGAGAGAGAGAGAGAGAGAGAGAGAGAGAGAGAGAGAGAGAGAGAGAGAGAGAGAGAGAGAGAGAGACACACAGAGAGACAACTACTGTCTCTTATACACATCTAGATGTGTATAAGAGATCGACCCAAGTCCGTATGCGGGTCTTGATGTGGAAATGCTGGGTTGTGCAAATAAATACCTGCTGTGTGGAGGTGACCTAAAGATCAGCTCTTTTGTTTTTTCCTTTTTTTTTTTTTTTT